GATAAAGGTCTATGATGAAAATCAGCTCATGCGGCTCCGTATCTCATGACTAGAGCCCCTAGCGCTCGCGAGAGCGTGCGTAGCCGCCTGGTTTTCCATAACGCAGGTGTTTTGCCGCTCCAGGGTCGGATTACTGTATCGCAAGGTACTCGGACTGCGAGATTCTATCCACGGAAATATTAGGGCGCTTTCTGCACTGTGTCTACTTCGTGTAATCGAACCAACTGAATGACCTCCAATATAGGTAGGTTTTGGGGAAATTAAACGTCATCGATCTGAACTGGCAAACGGAACCATTGCCATAGACACTCTTTCTTCGTTGTAGGAAGTATACTGTGAATGTGAAGAGGTGGCGCAGGTAGTGGTCAACCAACATTGTGATATTTCATTATAAACCCAGGAATGACTGCCTGGTAAGTATGCAAAGCCGGGAACTGGAAAATACTGCTATCATCTTCTTGTTATCCGAGCATTTTCTTCCTTCACTTGACGGGACGGATGACAGTCCCATCAGCTGAACGTTTGAACCATTAATCCGTTCGGCTAGTGAATAATTGTTAGTGTTTGTAGTGACCACTGTTACTTCCACAGAGGCTATTGCTACCGATTTCCACTCTGTTGTGTCAGCCTAGCTTGGTGGACGACAATTCTTACTTTACGAAGTTAAAAGCAATGCAGTTCCATTGCGAGCAAGTTCCAGTATTCACCGACAAAGCTATTGTCGGGAAGATGACATAAGGTACAACTTCGATATCGGGAATCTACTGCAGAATGACACACAGCCGCAAAAAAACCGACATGTTGTGATTCACGCCCACGGTGACCGTTGCTCACCTCAGAATATTATTAGCACTATTTATTGTTAGTTTATTCCGTTTGGTTCAGTCGAGAATACGATAGGAGCGACACACCAGTGTGGTCAAAATAACAGAAATAACGTCGCGCTCCACTTCAGAACTGCTGTTCTGAGAGATTTACTATAATACGCCTCAACATCAGCTCAGAAGACGGGGTTGAAGCTCATTGTGGCAAATTTCTTATAAGAACTGAGGTCCTGAAGGGCCAAGGATATCTACTCAGTTATCCTCGCTCTCCTCATGTGAGATCCGTTTCTGGTAAATACAATCAACCCTCGAACCTGGCAAATGACGCGGCGAACTGACGGCCATAACGCAAAGGATGTCGATGACGGAATGAAAAAGTTGCTCGTTGCACACTCTAGAGGGACCCGATGTTCCCCTACTCGACTGTTCACCTGTTACCATACTTCAATTCTACTGCACATCCCTGCTCTACCGACTTCGGGTGGTGGTAGAACGACTTTGATTGCTTCACAGCTAATAGGCGGTTGTCATGGGGCGCGCTCGATTCGCTCTGTCGGAAAGCGATAGTATCGCAGCGCGACGCGGCCTCGCCGCCAGCTGCTTGGTGATCGATCGGCGATCGAGGGACGGCCTCGTTTAAACTCAAACCTCATCGCTTCGGAGCTTCCACTGCAGGTCTGCTTTGACTAGTTCTGTTTTCTCTCACCTCAAGTGTTCAAAATGTTCTGAAAATAAGTCCAAAGGTTTTTACAGACTTCATTGGCCGTTTGGTTTCCTTCAACTTTTTTTGAAACGTTCTTTTTCTGTAAGATTGGAACCATACAGTGTGCTGCAGAATACCACTGAATTAACATCGGCATATCACTAGACCAGTTTCCTTGCACAAAAAAGTAGGGGTCTGATTAGGAATGAAAAATAATGAAAAAGTCAAGATATTTTCCCCAATCTTCTTCAGTTAATATCTTTTTGTATGCTGAATTAGTTTGATGATTGAATCGAACCTGAAGGTACTTTTAGTATGAAAAGTATGAAGTCAATTCTGACTGACTTGGTTTGTTTGCTTGGAAGTGTTCAGGTAACAGGAAAGGGTCAAGGTAATCATGTCGACGCATACTTTTTATGCAAGTTTAGCTTTAACTAGCTTCCAGAGCTTTTACCCAATGCTTGTAGAGCCTATATACAGGGCTTTTACTATCCCCTCTCGAAGATCGAATCGAACCTGAAATATGGTGAGTGATTGAAGAACATTTCATGATTTTGCTGTCAAGTACAGGGAATGTAGTCCGTGCAGCTCCGCATCGGCTCGCCATATTGCTGGAGGTTTATGGCAAATACTCATTCTATGTACGCCGCGGAGTAGTTTTTTCGTAATTTTTTCTCGTTGTGGGTAACGGAATTCAGTCTTAAAGTAGAAGGGCTTTTTGAAACTCAGAACTTTTAAAATGTAACACTTTTATGCATTTTTTGCACCGAGTTTTTGGTGTATTTGAAATCGCCATTACTTCCCCTTTTTGATATTGAACCCTTTTTTTTTGTTTTCTCACTTTTTATACTTTAAAGTCTGTCTATGAATAGCTTTTATCGTGAAAGTTCTGTGGAATCGTGAAACATCCAGTATATTGAATAGTTTCCTCTCTATAAATCTATTGCTTCCTTCTGATCTTTCTCTCTTTTGCGTTTGATTTTCCTCATCACTTTGCGGATAATGTGGAATCTCGAATGAGTTTACAGCCAACAGTTACCAACCCTTTTATCAACTCTTTTATGCTTTTGATTTTATCGCTGACGAACTGCCTGATCCACCTATTAGAGTGAGTGCCTCTGTTACGTTCTTCTTTTTCTCAATCCTAGCCACAGTCGTTGGTTACTTGTTACCCTACAGATCTGTTTCAAGGTGATATGTTTGTCCTATCCATGTCTTTTTTCGTCTCAGCATTATAATTTGTTGAATCGCTCGTTATCAATAAAGTAAAGTAGCGAACAGATCAGTACTACATATTTCAATTTCAGGGATTCTTTAAAATGGCCAATGTGTTTGTGGACGACCCGCATGCACTGCGAGCCTGCTTTCTTTACGAATTCCTTCAAGGTCATACAGCAGCCAATGCTCACCGCAATATATGTCGCGTGATAGGCAAGGATAACCTTCAGTACGATGTAGTGAAGTTCTGGTTTCGTCGCTTCAAGAAAGGCGACTTCGATCTCGAGAACAAGACCAGGTCACGTCGTACTCGCACATACGTGGACGTGGAAGTGGACGATAATATAGGCCAGCAATTGGCAGAGAAGCACATAGCAAAAGGACTTGATCAATCATCGACCATTGATCTTACTGAAATCGTTGCACACAAGAGTCTCAAAAGCGGAGTAACTTTGAGTTGTGGTCCCCTATTTCCCAACAAATCGTCAGAGACAGAGGAGGTGAAGAGTGATGAAAAGGACGCCGCTATTAAAAGGGCGCTAGCATCGGGTAGGTGACATATTTCACGGATTTGCATTTGGATGTATCATCATTGAAGTTCAAAAAAGAAAGATTTTCTCCCATGAAGTATTGATTAGTTTCAGGACCTGTAAAATATGAAGTGAATGACAGCATCAGCGCCGAATATCTGTTACATTTGCCTACCTCAGATCCTGCAAAGCCGACAGCCTTAGCAGAAACATCTGAATCATGTTTAGGTACTGAACCCGAAACGTCTACATTTTCTGCCATTTATGGGCTTAGAACGTCGTCAGGGTAGTTTCAATAACTGCAAACTCTTTAATTCAGTGTAGACTATGTTTTCTCACTGAGAATGTCGTGTAGTGAACGTTTCCTTTAGGATGTCTTGTTCATTTAATGAGTTTATCTTTATATAACCATGCATTTGTATTTCGGTGTTTTCTTTACAACGTAATTTTCAGGAGGATTCGCAATGGATATACCTTCAACAGAAGAGACAGTGGTATCAAGTAAGCTATGTATTGAGTGTACTTCATTTTTCTCAAATAAAGTCAAAAAATAAGGTTACATGCTTTGTCATCAGAGCAATTCTCACGTTACGTTATCGGCTAGTTCACAGTTCGACAAGTCAGTGCTTCAGCGGTTGACACCGATGGCGCGCTAAATGCCATTTTTTTAATGGCTGGAGGGATGGATAGTGAAAAGCCGACGACTTCAAAAGAAGAATCTAAACCAACGGCAGGTACGTGTCATTTTTTTATTTCTCTCTTGAGCCAAACCAACATGTTCAGCAGAAGGATCTGTCCGCCGTCACCGTCCTCACTACCATGTAAGCCTTACGGGGGAGCTCTTCCGCGGAGAAGTTCTAGCCAGCAAAAGGGGTATTTATCCCGTTATAAGATACCCCCTTGCAGGTGTGCATATCAGATTGCTTAAATCAACTTCCTCTACAACGCTTTACATTTAATTTTCAGATGGGGAGCATTGTTATGCTTTTGAACAAGTGCGCATCACAAAGCGAGGACAATCAGTTTATCGATGCACGTCATGCAGGAAGAACGGCTCTACCATTAGCATAGCGGTACGTAAAATATTCCTCATGTTCTGCTTTACGCACTGATTGACTCCAATTTAGGTAAAAAATGGATGCGACTTTATCGGAGATCCTACACTTCTCCCGCATGTGTGTACTCCGATAAAAAATGCGCAGGACAAAGTGACACGGATGGTATACCAGGTAAAAGTATGCTACTTTCATTGATGCTTTTAGAAAAGTTATGTTTACGTTTAGTCGTGCCAAGCCATTGCGACAGAACCACAACTAGCGAAGGCAAAACCGAATCAATTGTGGCAGAGTATAGCTCAGTTTATTGACGACAATGCTCCCGATGGTAAGCTGCATCCCATATTAGTGAGAGAAATCATCAAAATAGTATTCAGATGAGGAACAACGAAAACTGTTGCTGAAGCAATTTTACAGAGGCGGATATAAATCCAGACGAACAACGATTGCAAGGCAACGTTTTCATGTATTCATAAAACCAATCTCACACCTACGAGAGGACTTTTTAGAGCAGCTGCAAAGCTTCACCGTGCCACGATGGGAGAGGAAATGGAGGATGAAAAAGACTGGAAACTAAGTGAGAAAGTTACGACCTAGTTCTCGTGGTTTCTCTAAAGGTGGTTTCTTAGCAAGATTGCACCCCATACTGACATCTTAGGCGATAATTTTGTTGTTTGCTCGTGAGTCTTTAGGATGGCAACTAACCAACTTGAAGTAAATGGGACTATACATGTGCTGTATACTGCATAATTTTTGATACTTTGTTACCATACTGGCTATTTGAGAAGGAAGAGCTGCCAAGAATGTTTGATGCAAGAGGTTTTCTGTTCCGACGAGTACTTGAAAAAATGAATCGGAGAGTCATTTGTTCTGTTTCCTAATTTAGCAATGTTAAAAACTACCTAAGACTGAACACATGTGATAGGTGCCGCTCTAAATTTTAGTACACATTCTGCCTTATGCTTCTGCGATTTCAAAAGAATGGTGGAGTCTTGACTTATAAGATGAAACAGGCGAAGGGCTTTCTCTATGAAGTTGTAAAATTTTTGCGCTTGCAAAACAAACGATTGCTTTGATTTGGTCTAACTTGTGAAACTGCCTCCAGTTGTGTCGGTCCGTGAGATTCTTCAGGCCAACTTCAGGTGGTGTTTAAGGTGATCAAGTGTAAACGTCTTCACTGCATCAGCATAGTACAGTAAGTCCAGGAAATCATGTCTTGTGGAATAACGAACACTGAATTGCACACCGACGCTCATCAATTACACCAACTTTGCTTAACAGTATGTTCTGAAAGAGTACGGATGGCACTCCCTTGTGCTGCCATTTTTAAGCTTTTTGAGGGTCTGCCGAACTCGTCCAACATTGTCCAAATGCAGGAGGTAATCAAGGATGTGAGACCTCGGAAAGCTTCAAAGGCAATCGATGTGGAACCTCGGAAAGCTTCAAAGACAATGTTTTATGGGGATATTCTGGTCGGGAGAGCGTCCTCGTTTACGTTCTTGGAGTGTGGATAAACGTATAAACAGAGAGCAATTCATACCGTATCAGCATCAGATAACTCGACGCAATTCTGCGAAAGAGAGCATTGTCGTGATGGAACAAAAGCGCGAGGTTAGATTCTGGAGAATGCAATCACTCTTGGGCTACTCTTAGTCTGACAACAAACTTCTACAGTGCACTTCACGCTAAAAGTCGCACTTCATTCTGACAAATACATTACCTAGAGCAGTCGCTCGATTTTGTAGCCAAAACTGCCAGATTCGCTGTACAAGAAAACAATGTCTCACCTGAACTTAAGGGAGTTGGTTCATAGATTTGTTTCCTATCGTATCTTTTCGAATTTCGGCCGTTCCATGTTATACGTGCAGTCTGCTTAATCATAGTACCATCGTCTGAGTCGACGATCCCCATCCCACATCGCTCCAACAGTCTGAGACGACGTTTTAGACTACGGGTCGCCCATAATGATACTGAGAGTCAAGCGGGAACACTACAAANCCGTGAACAAGGGCAAGGGCAACAGTTGATTGCCGTTCTTATTCGCACCTTTTGGACTATCAACTCTCATTTAATGCTGTATCATTGCTTTACTGCCTTATTAATGTACAAATGCGTAAATAATCATATATGTGCATGTTTATTGCTGTTGTTGTTAATATACACGTATCCATTTTCCAATGAACCACCCACACGAATGGTCTATTCATAAAGTCAGTGATTTATAAACTTCACTGGGATTTAGAAGTCAGCTGGTCCTCCTTTCAAAGCCAGCCCCACAGATCGACGTTTCATACTTGCTGGCAGGGTTTTGAGGATTACAGAATCGTCGCTTCTTCCTACGGACTTTCAGCTCGCTATAGTGAAAACATGCCTGCAATTACTGTAAGTCTGTAGAACATTGATGTTCCACGAATTTTCTATGGTGTTAGAATCAGAGCTATTGTTGAAAACACATGCAAGTTGATCAGCTAGTTTGGCGCCTTCATTATTCCGCTGGAAGACTAGCTTCTACTGTCGTCACCGTCAAGGAATGGCAATCGTTAGACTCAGGAAATTTTCAACATTCATGAATCCACTGGGCAAAAACATATAATAGTCTCAGATTTTTGTCACAGTGATGAACTCCCCGGGCCATTAACGAACCTTGCTGAACACTGACAACCGTAAGTGTTCAGTGGCTTAAGTTAGACTTGCTCCGACGGAAAATGTTATTTGCAAACACAAAATCACTCTGCAACATAAAATGCACACCTAATTCACCAGCAGCACGTGCTTGCAATTCGTTGAAACAATTTTTCGGACCAATTCAAGACAGGCCTATTCGTAAACTGTGCTCTCTCCTTCACTTCTGCCCTTACAGAAGATCAAGCAGCATTCCGCGCTCAAAATTAAGTACAATCTGAGATATAACGGGAAACTGGAAGATTACAGAAAGGGCAATGGATCTCAAATGGCGAGAAGGTAACCTAACTCGGAAGTCTTGCAGCTATTTGATGTAAACTTTCGCAACAACTAAAGTTCGAAACTAGATACTTTCTTTGAAGGTTGCATATATCCTGTCTTGTTTGGGACTCGGAAAGTAAAACTTCTCAGCCTTATGTTGGTTGGCTTTGGGAGTCACCAGTAATCTTGAGAATTGTTACATCCACTCACGTACAGCTTCTTTCACTTAATGTTGGAAGAATGAAACTCATAGGAGTAAAAGTTGATGAAAATCATGCAAAGATCAGATGCTATGCACTGTGATTCAGGTATTGAGACTTTAAGAGCAAGTGATTTAATTCAATTTTGAGCAGCCCTTTACAATCACACGCCAGCAGAAAATGCCTACTGTAAGAGAAGCGAAATTCTGAGAAGGGATTAGTCAACAGTGTAGGTATAGACCAAAAACTTTTCGTTTCCTTGCAACATCGCATAACACCTGTATCGGGGAATGTTATGTTACGGTAATCGTGCCCCCTCTCACCTCAAGTATCACGAGGATGCCGCCATCTGTTCGTGGAGTACACTCAGTCGACAAAGCCTCCGCCAGACCACGATGCTGAGCGTCTGCTTACAACTCTGGAACCCTTTGCCTTCCATCTCGTGATGCCTAAACTGCTAAATGATCTCTTCTATTGAACGGGGACAGGGCAGATCCTTTATATTCACACATATACGAGATAAATCTTATATTCCTGTTGATGTTGCACAGAAGCATGGGTCTTCCGCGTGGTAAACGCGTTTGCAGTTCAATCGGCATCGAGTCTTCCTGTTGTGACAACCTACCTTTGCCGTTATGAATAAACGAGATCCGATTGAAGTTAATAGGACAGGGAAGATTTTGAGAAAGATGAGCTTCCCATAAAAACCCTTTCCGGGTCCTGACTAACCTTGTTTAGACCATTCCGTGCAGTGCATTGTGGAAATTGATGTTTATCTTGAAGGAGAGTGACCGAATTTATTTACATGATATAAATGAGCCATGAGTTTGTTTCTCGTTCTCCACGAAATTCTCTATCAATTTTGGTTTCCATCTCCGTTGATGAGCACTTCACGCAATTCCAATACTTTATTCTTCCCATCAGATGAAACCTTCCTGACAGTTTCGCGTGCGTACTGTTAACCTCAATCTGCCAGTTCTTTCGAATGTGAGTAAAGAACACACGCTCACCGTCTGCAGAATCTAAGCATCGTAGGCATCCATCGGCTATCTACCGTCTTCATGCCATTTACTTGCAATGCAATAGTCTGAGCTCACCGTCCCGGGATCACCGTCGCCTCCGTCGATTGTGGCTGCTGCCCCGAATCTCGAACACGCAGTCTAAAATAGCCAGACGATGTAGCTGTCGATCCTTTCTTAAGAAATGTCAGTTTTGGTTCAGTGATGGCACTATTGTTTAATTCTTTTTTTTTAAGCATGGGAGGCCTTGCAGAGCTGTATTGCACAGAAGATATGGTAAAGCCCTTAGTGACGTTGCTTTGGCAGCTATCGTTCGAACATGGAAGGGAGCTGGGTCTTAGAATTTGGCCCTTGTGTACCGGATTTATGAGAACAGAGCATCTCTTTCAAATAAAATTAACGAGCCATTTACAACAGTGCGGAACCGTTCAGATGCGATTTTGCTTTTTCGCGATGTTGACCCATGATTTTTCTTTTCCCAAAATAGCTACTTTCACCGGTTCATCTGAGGAAGGAACTGAATTTTTCATCTGGTTGCGTCGACTGAACGACATATGTAATTCGCATGCCCTCGACGGAGTTTTACAGCGAGCAGGAAACCAGCTTTCTCTTTGGCCATCATGAGTCGTCCGAGAGAAAGTTGAAGAGTTTGATGAGCTCGTGATAGTTCCGATGCCGTCACCTCTCCTGAGGCACTCTTTGAAAGTGCGCAGCAACGATATTTTGCTGCGAGTTCTTGAAGAAGTTCCTCAGGTGAAAGGAATCTTCAGCCAC